TCAGTGGGTTAAAGCCTCTGCCTTCGGCTCAGGTCATGATCCCAGGGTCCTGGGATTGAGCCCGGTCATGATCCCAGGGTCCTGGGATTGAGCCCCACATCGGGCTCTCTGCTCAGCAGGGAGCCTGCTTCCTCCTCTCTCTCTGCCTGCCTCTCTGCCTACTTGTGATCTCTCTGTCAAATAAATAAATAAAATCTTTTTTTAAAAAAAATCATTAAAAAAAAAAAAAAAAAGAGGACACTATGTGCCAAAGATGAACTCTACAGTTTAGGAAAGTGAGAATTTAACAATGACAAGAGATAAGGCTGAAGAGATGGACTAACTTATGACAGATCTTATACGCCATGTGACAGTTCTGAACTAATGAAGACGTTGAAACGAGGAGTCACATTTGCATTTTAGAAAAATAATAATAAAATAACATAAACAAAAGCCCACTGAGGCCTGCAGTATGGAGACTGTATTAGAAAGAGGGCAGACTAGACACGTGGAAACCAATTCAGACACTACTACAGTAATCCAAGTGAGAAATGATGAAGTCCTGAACTAAGGAAATAGCAGTGGAGATAAAGAGAGTAAGCCACTAAGGTACAGTAAGGAGTAAAAACTGCAGGATTTTGGAGGCGAATACACTGGTAGTAACGAGACAAAAATAGTTCCCTTAAGCTGGGAGTTCAGAGAAATCTTCCTAAAAGATGGGCTCTCAAGAATATCACAGAGAGATGCAAGACTCCTTTAAATGTTTCTAAAGAAATATCACATTTCTAAAGAAATGTGAGTGTGTTGGCTCCAACCACTCAAAGGAAAAATAATAAGCAATACACTAAAAATGAGAGCACTCAACTACAAAAACCAATTCACAATTATTTGTTGTATTTATAATAGCACTATATAAATATGAATCTCTAATCTCTTGAGGTTGATCTCTTCCAAGAAAATCAAATTACTGTCAGAAATAAAACACTCTGCATAGTTGCTTGATCTGAGTCACACTCATAGTCACTTATAAGTCAAACATGTTTCATATAAATTGTTATTTTAGTCAACCCTTATTTCACTGCTTGGCCAAATACAATCTTTTAATTTTTTTTTAATTATAATCGTTTAAAATACACAAGTAAAATATTCTCACTATAACAATTTGAATTCAGAAATGTAGTTACTCTACCCTCCACCAACTCCCTACCCTTATTACTCTGAAATTACTAGTTAAAATGAGTTGAATATTCTATTTTTCTTTGCTTAAACATATACAAGTTTATATAGGGTTTATTTAATAACAATGGGTTCATACAGTATATATATTATCCTTTAACTTGTTTTTACTTAAGGTAATCATAAATTTCAAGCCAAAATATTTAACATTTCTATTATTTGTAATAATGTGGGCATTCTATAATTTGACATATATTTAGAACATCTGTGTTTAATACTAAAATTAATGATATAATGAATACTGCTATATATTGCTTTAAATAATGGTTCTTTTTTTGTTTGTTTTTTTTATAAAAACAGTCTATTTTAATTCATTAAAACTTCTGTTTTAACATATTCTAAAACTACACTTTTATCCTCTCAAACTTTTGTTTTTGATGTCACAATATACATCTTATTTATCTTTGTATTCCTTAACAAATTATATTTTTTTACTATTTTTGTCTTTTAGACTTCATACTAGCTTACAAATGATTAACTCACCACCTTTACATTAGATTATTCTGAACTTTCTTGTAAGTTTATTTTTACCTGTAAAGTTATACTTCCAAATGTTTTATTGTTACTAATTAGTACCCTTCTATTTCATTTAAAGAACTCCCTTTAACATTTCTTTTTTTTTTTTCCCCATTTGGGATTTTTTAAAATTTTTATTTATTTTTTAAATTTCTTTTCAGTGTTCCAGAATTCATTGTTTATGCACCACAACCATTGCTCCATGAAATACATGCCCTCCACAATACCCACCACCAGGCTCCCCCAACCTCCCACCCCCCGCCCCTCCAAAACCCTCAGATTGTTTTTCAGGGTCCACAGTCTCTCATGGTTCGTCTCCCCCTCCAATTCCCCCCAAGTCCCTTCTCTTCTCCATCTCCCCATGTCCTCCATATTATTTCTTATGCTCCACAGTCGCCAAACTGTGGGAAGAACCAAGATGCCCTTCAACCGATGAATGGATAAGGAAGATGTGGTCCATACATACTATGGAGTATTACGCCTCCATCAGAAAGGATGAATACCCAACTTTTGTATCAACATGGACGGGACTGGAAGAGATTATGCTGAGTGAAATAAGTCAAACAGAGTCAATTATCATATGGTTTCACTTATTTGTGGAGCATAAGAAATAAAGGTACTTTAATGGCATTTCTATCAGATAAATTCCCTGAAAAGTTTCTTGGTTAAAGGACAGTATTTTAATTAATATTAAGTTCTCAAAAAGCAGTAATAATTTAGACTCACCAGCAGTTTGAGGATAGATGTTTTCCCCCATACCCTTGTCAGTTCTAGAAAATTTCATATTCACTTTTGCCCATTTGACTAAATGGAAAACTTTGTCTACTTTTAGTGACAGCATCTTTTCATGTGTTCATTGTCCATCTGCATTTCCCTATTTGTGAATTGCTTGTTCCTATCCTTTACTCTTGATCCTGTTGTCTTTTTCATTAATTTTTGTGGAAACTTATGTTTTATCATGTAAAGCTTTTTAAATTTTTCTGCAATCAAATCTGCTAATTTTTTCTCCCAGGGACTTTAGATTCTGTGTCTTGCTTAGGCCTCCTCTGCTACACAAGATTAAACTAGCACCTGTATTTTCTCATAATTATTTTATTACAATTTGGTTTTGTCCTTATTTTACATCTAGATCTTCAACTCATTTGGAATTTATTCTTATGGTGTTATAACTTAGGAGATGTCCCAACACCACCTATTGAATTATTCATCTTTAAATGCTTCCTTCTAGAGTAATAAATTACAAATAGCCAAAATGGCACACAAATAAAATTCCTAGGAATTCTTAAATTTCACTAACTGAAATAAAATTCCAAACTTATCAAAAGTTTTTTAAAAGACATTTATCATTTTTGCTTTAAAAAAAAATCACACATTGGGACATACGCATACAGTATACCAAAATCAGCATACAATGGTGAAATAGTTGTTTTTTTTAAACATAGCAGAAATGGAAATTAAATCAATGATCTAACTTTTTTTTAAAATTTTATTTATTTAACAGAGAGAGAGAGATCACAAGTAGGCGAAGAGGCAGGCAGAGGCGGGTGAAGAGGGGGGTGAAGCTCCCTCAGCAGGGAGCCCAATGTGGGACTTGATCCCAGAACCCTGAGATCATGACCTGAGCCAAAGGCAGAGGCTCAACCCACTGAGTCACCCAGGCACCCCTAAGTCAACAATCTAACTTTTAACATAAACAGAAATAATCACTGTTTGAAATCTCAAGATTATTCATTGATTCAGGTCACAAATATTTATTGAGCACCAACTAACAGGTGTTCCGGATTTAATGTGGGCCAAAACAAGTAGATCCCTACTTTCATGAAGCTTATAATCTAGTGAGAGCTTCTCTCTCTTCCAGAAACAATGTATTTAAGTGAAAAAGAAAAAAAAAAAAAGAAAGAAAGAAAGAAAGAAATGTATGTTCACACAAATGCAGTGCTACGAAAAACATTTTGGCAAATTTTATTACACATTCAGTACTTTTCATTTCCAAAATACTACTTTATTTCAAATGTACCTATTTATCCTGGTAACTGTCTCTTTACTCGTGTTGAAAATCCTGCAAGAAATTAAGATTAACTCCATTTAAAGATTAGCTATTACCCATCAACCTACACCTACAATACCTATGTCTACTCTCCTCACTTCCTCAACAATATTTAATTTCTTTCACTATGGTAAATAACTCAAAAAGAGAAATCTAGTTACATCAGCCACGTTCAGTCCATCAAATCAAAGTTTTTTCTAAAATGTATACCGAGACCGAGAGACTTCTCGGCGATTCCTACAGATCTAGCAAATAGCAATACTATGTTGCTTGGAGAGGAAGCAAGAACTTCGGTGGTCCTTACACGGCATCAGGTAACAAGGGCAACTCATTAATGACAATCACCTTAAACGTCAGATCCCACGACCGAGGCCACCGCCACTCTCAGCCTTGTAATACCTGGCCCTTGTGGCCACGCCCCCCATACGAACTCAGGGCCTCCTCCATGCACCCTAGCTCCTCCGGACCCAACAGCACAAAGTACGCCCACGAGAGGGAAGGCGGTATTACTGCCCCTACGGTGTGACCTTGGCTAAGTGTCTCCCCGTCAGTTTACTCATCCGTGAGATGAGGGTGGTACTCCGCGCCCGCCTCTATCCCCAGGCCTGGGTTCAGCACCTAATGCCACAAAAGGCAAAGCTGCAGCCCTAAGCTCCACGCTGTTCCCCGCGACTGCCCCACGCCGCCCCCGCCTCCGCTCGCAGTCCGAGGCCACGCGAGCTACCTGCGATCTGCGAGACGAAGGCTTCCGCCACTAGAGACATGTCTGCTGGGCGGCTCTGCGCCCGCGGTTCCTACACCCCCAGTCCCTCGGCGTCCTCTTCTGAAATCCGTGCGTCTCCTGCGGCTACCAGGCGTGATCCCGGCTGAAGATCCGACTGGCACAGCCCACCTAGGTGCGGGTGGAAGCGGTGAGGACCCCAAGGTTACCGCCAGGCCGGGCCAGGAACTTCCGGTGCAGCTGACAGTGGAGAGAGAGCACTTCCGCCCGCGTCACCCGCGCGCTCCTCCCCTGGCGCGGGGGTTCCCGAGTCCTAATCTCATCGCGGCATCTCAGCGGCCTTGGGGTGGGGTCCCTGGTTCCCGATCGCTTTAGGCTCCAACCTGGGGGTGGAAAGAGGGATCCTGGAGGTTTTCAGTATTCTTTCTGTAAGCGAGAATTTTCTAAGCAAGTTAGTGTTGTTTTTTTTTTTTTCTTTTTAAAGAATTCTTTATTTATTTGAGAACGAGAACCCGAGCTGGGGGAGGGGCAGACTCCCTACTGCAGAGCCATGGAAGGGCGCCCAGCTGGGTCTCACAATACTGAGATCATGACCTCAGTGGGGTGCTTAACCGCCTGAGCCACCCCTGGGCCCCAGCAAGTAATATTTTTAAGCGGCACCATACCAAGCCCTTTAAAAAGTGCATACAGCATTCTATTTCGTGTCTTCTCAACAACCAAGAAGTCGATATTGTTATGGCCATTTTATGGGTAAGGAAACAGGCTTAGAAAGTTTAAACTGCCTCCTCAGGGAGTATGATGAGGCCCAGATTCAAATGTGCGTTGAATTTCCTCTGTTTCTCTATACTGCTAGGTTGATTAGTCCATGGACAGACATTAGTGTTTATTCCTTTTTCAAAGGTGTTTGGCAGAGAGGAGGCATGAGAAGCTCCTAAGCTGAGAAATAATTTGCCCTTCAATTCTGGACACCCGAAAAGAAGCTCATCTTGCAGAGTAAGTTTCACACACTTCTCCCTTTGGAGTGGGGGAGGTGAGAGGGGCAGGAAAAGGAGGAGACATTAAATCCATAAGTGACTTTTTATACAGTTTATACAAGCATACAATTGAGGAAACATAAGGATATGTTACAGATTTAGAGGCATAAAATATTACAAGTGAAACTGACTTCAGAGATCATCTGGTGAGCCAAGGCCCCCTTTCAGTGCTGAGAAATTTGTAACAGATTACCACAAACTAAATGGCTTAAAAACAACAAATTTATTCTCTCCCAGTTTTAGAGGTTGGAAGTCCTAAGGACTCTAGCTTTCCCCTGATTCTTTGTAGCTTCTGCAGGTTGCCAGCAATCTTTGGCCTTCCTTTGCTTATAGACACATCAACTCAAATCTCTCGCTTCATCATCACGTGATAGAGTATGTTTGTATCCAAATTTCCCTCTTCTTATAAGGACACCAGTCACTGGATTAAAGTCTACCCTTATCCAGTATGACCTCATCTTAACTTGATTTCATCTGCAAAGGCTATTTCCAAATAAGCTTACATTCACAGGTACCAGAGATTAGAAACTTGAACATACCTTTTTTGGGGGGTGGGGGAATACAATTCCACCCACTACACTAAATAATAAATTTTTTAAGAATAAATCGTCAATATTTGCATCACCCTTTGCAACTAGGAAATTTGTTAAACTAATTTAAATTTACCCAAAAAAGTACCTGAACATAAATAAAGCAATGTATTAAGAAACCATATCTTCTCACTGGCTGAGATTCAGAGTTGACAATGGGTTGAAATAATAGGTTTTTCTTGTTTGTGCTAAGGGAGATAACACTGATAGTAAAGAATATGCCCAGTTTCCTCCTCCTTATCCCATGAATGATATTGACCAAGAGAAATGAACTGTTCCAGGATATGGGGAGGCAATTGAAAGAAAAGCTTTCAATTCCTGTCTGTTTCTCTGCACAGTGAACTAGTATAACTTGTAAAAGTGAAGATCTGTCACCTATTGAAGTTCTGTTACCAAGTTTGGTTTGTCACTTTTTAAAAGCTGGAATAAAATTTTTGACTACTTTTTGACACTTGCAGAATTTTTTTTAAGATTTCTCCATCCATACCACAGAGATTATATGGGAACCTGAACCAAAGGCCTTAAAATTGGACCAGGGAATCCAAAATCCAACAAGTCCAAAAGGCAAAGGTGAGCCCCAAAGTGGAAGGAGAATGGCAAGATCCAGGGACTTGGCATACATGCAAGAAAAACAGAGCAAGATGAGAGGCAAAGGAGAGTGTGCCCTCAAAATTTCAGTTAGGTGTCTATGCCTTGATGCCTAGCACATTGATGATCTGGACTGGTCCAAAGGTACTGGGCTGGTGATTGACACCAACCCTGTTCTAGAAAGCTTTTGAGAAAGAAACTGGGATCTGCTGGGGGCACTGTCTATACTCAACCCTTTCATCATTGTAGCTGGGGAAACAAGACTCATCAGCACCATATGGATTCATTTTTTCTCCCTGACTGATGGTTCCTTTGCTTCCCACACAGGCTAATTTAGACTGGAAAGAATCTATAATGTGGGAGGTCTTTATTACTAAAAATTAGATCCAATAAAATGCAGATGTCCTGACAGTATCCACAAACAAGCTGTCTTTGAATAAATAACCAACTGGAGTAAATGTATTTATGCATCTGTATTAGAACAACTGGCAGATTTAGAACTGAAGATCTGTTTAAGATCACAATTAAGGAAATTACAAGAAAACAAGCCACTGAAGGTTTTAAGGATGAGGTTATAAAACAGAAGTGTTAGGGAATCCGTATGTTACTAAAAGAATAATCACACAATTATTTAAAATAAAATATTAATGCATGATATGAATATTGTTTGCCCTAACAAAATCACTTTTCTTGCAAAACTGTACTACCATGAAAACAGCTTCATGTCTCTAGTCTAGATTTTACATTACGATATTAAGTAGGAAACACAGAGCTGTCATCATGAATATATACTTTATTAACATTAAAGTATCAAGGCATTTTATCTGCATTTCATTTTTCTCTGACAGAATGTTCATATTTTAAATGTAAATACTTTCTTTTTTGAAAAATGCCTGCAAGATAAAATTTAGGCTGAGATTCCTTCAAAATTGTACTATTTACTTGACAATGATAAAATAAATTCAGGCCTTATTATGAAATTAGTCCCCCCCTTCCTATCTCCATCAACAGAATTAATTATGGATAATTCAATCCATCCCAATAAAGTGTTAATACAATTAGAAACACTAAGGTAACCATATTATGCCCCAGAGCTTTTTTGTTCATCTACTAACAGTTTTTACTTCTTTAAAAATAATGGAGCTGTAGGCAACTACAGGCAGTCTAATATATGGGGTTGGCAAAGATACTTTTTAAAGGGTACAGAAATGTAGCAGCCATTTGTCCTTATACCTCTCAACTCCTCTTTCATCCATTTTGTTTAATTCCTGAGAAATTATGATCAACCCAGAACTAAGTTCTTACCGGTTTCTCACTTTCTGATCCCACCCTCTTGTATCTTAGGCTAGCACACCCTCGAATGAACTACAGGCATATGGACTACAACACTACACTTCAGGAAATATCTACACTATTGATTATAGTGGGCCTGGATTCTTTGAATATTAACTGATTTTCAACAGTAATTAAAAGGCTTAATTTCCAAAATACTCTGCCAGGTCAGGTATTCTCATAGTTTTATGTTGTTATTAGGAGCTGAGTATTTTAACTCTATCTAGTGAGGGTGCTTTTCTTGGGTGGTTGAAAATTGTCTTATCTACTGTTCCAGGAACTGAGTTAGTTAGGACTTTCCTGGCTGCAAGTTATAAAGGAACAAACCCAGTTAAGCAAGTTTAAGTTTATTGCCTTGTAGTGGTAGAAAATATACCAGAGTAGTTCACAAAACTGAATGAAAACCTCTAGGAACCAGAGTGTCAGCTCTCTCGTTCTCCTTCTACCTCTCATTTCTGCTCAGCTTTATTCTTTCTCCCTAAAGACACGTCTTCTCCCAGTAGGCAGGAAAAATAGTTGCCTAGAGCACCAACTTGACATCTTCTTAGCTTGGAAGCCTCAATTTCCATATGGAAATTTCCAGATTGAAATTTCCAATCTCAGGGAAGAATTATAATTGTTTGGATGTTATCACCTTTGAATGAAACACTTTGTCCAAGTGAATGCGTTCACCGACCAAGCCGGCAAGGGAGGTACAGGATCTGTTATGAAAGAAAATGAGAGAAAAGACACAAGGCAGCCAATATCATAGTACCCCGTCCACAAGAAGAATCGAGAGTGCTATAATGGGGCTACCGCTAGTGTTAAAACTACAAAAGTCACTTAATCTCTTTATTATTTTTTTTATTTCTGGGGAACCTGGGTGGCTCAGGGGTTAAACTTCTGCCTTCAGCTCAGGTCATGGTCTCAGGGTCCTGGGGTCGAACCCCGCATCGGCCTCTCTGCTCAGCAGGGAGCCTGCTTTCTCCTCTCTCTCTGCCTGCCTCTCTGCCTCCTTGTGATCTCTCTCTCTCTGTCAAATAAATAAATAAAATCTTTAAAAATTTTTTTATTTCCACAAAGGGGCTAATAAAGTGTAATGATGCCTTAACTACAGCCCCTGGGGTTGGGGAGGAGGAGAGAAACTCAGATGATCGTGTTAACTAAGAGGAAAAGCTGAGGAGGCCTTCAACAGAATTATTATATTTATTATATAGCTATTTATTATATTACTATATTTATGCAAAAGTAGATACTTTCACATAAATGTAATGAGCTAACTCAACCTTAAATCACTATAGCAATGAACTTACAGTTTTTCAAAACAAAACAAAAAACCCACACACAATTGTCTCATCCCATGGTGTATATAACGCCCTTCCACAGCTGGATAACAAGGATATGTACTTTCTGAAGCTATAAATAATATGTGTGAATAAAACAACATGGAAACATGAATGATGTTATGTTAATTTAAAAAAAGCAGAATTAGAAATGTACTTTATTCTGAATATATCTACGTAAAAACGTGTATATGAAAAAAAAAATTCTCAAATGTAATAAAGCCTTGATCCAGTAGGGTGGGATCTTGATTTTTTTTCTTTTTGCTGTTTTTTAAATTCTCTGTACTAGTTTTATGCTAGTTTTACCATTGGGGGAAAAAAGTGTTTTCATCACTCTGGATAAAGGTGACTGACCTGTCTACATCTAGGCCTTGCATAATATAGACCTTATTAGACCTTAATTATACTGCCGAGATTTTATCTTGGACTAGCTCCATGTTCCATAGCAGAGATTCACTTCCATAGTAATACTGAGAGAAGAACACGTGCAGATAGAACCACATCCTTAATACCTTATTGTTTGTACGTCCTTATGAAAGACTTTGTACAGCTGGGCAAGCACATCTCGTTGTGTAACTACTCTTGTTTAATACTGAATGGTATGTGACAGAAACTGGCAAATTTTGTAGATTGGTTGTAGATACCCTTGTTTTTGCTGATAGTGTGGCATTGGTTTTAAACTTTTCAGAGTTGTCATTTTAATCTTATAACCGGTACACAAAGCTTAAGAGTCAGTGATGGTGACTAAGAAGCCTGAAGAAAGAGCGTCTACAACATGAGTGTCGAAAACAAGGTAAAGAGATGGGCCTAAGACAACAGAAATTTGAAAGCACTCTTGAGCTCTTGAAGTCACTTTGAGAAAAAGGTTCCCATGATGGAGAACTAGGTCACCTCTGATAGAACGTCAGCATCTTGAAGATTATGCCCAATGACATGATCACCAATATTTTCCTTTGCCTTCTTTTCAAATTAGAATCTATCTTAGAGAATGAGATTCATTTCACTCATTCATTCATTCCTCAGGTAATTATTGGACCCCATTTTGCAATGCTGGGCCCTCACCCAAATCTTGGAGACACTATAGTGAACAAAATTCAGTGTCTGCTCTGAATTACAATCCAGTTGAAAGGATGGTTAGGCGAACAAGCCATTTAGACATGGCGTAACAAGTGCTATGAAAAAGGATCTGTATAGGGGCGCCTGGGTGGCTCAGTCTGTTAATTGTCTGCCTTTAGCTCAGGTCATGATCTCAGGGTCCTGGGATTGAGCCCCATGTTTTGTCAACGATCAGTGAGGAGCCTGCTTCTCCCTCTCCCTTTGCTCCACCCCTGCTGCTTGCGTGCTCGCTCTCTCTCAAATAAATAAAGTCTTAGAAAGGGATGAAGGAGGGAAGGAACAAAGAGAAGGAGGGAGGGAAGGAGGGAGGGTGTCTGTACCCATTTAAAGTCATAGGCAATGTTACCTAAGAAATGTTTCAAGTCGTGTTGCCATAGCTACCACAACTCTTCAGTATAAGCAAAATGCCCTTGTCAGTATACCAAATTTAAATACATGAAAAATAACTTCTTGGGCTGGTGTGTAGTACACCTCCAGTAATCCAAAAGCTTGCCAACTATCTTACACAAAACTTTATTTTGGCACATGTTTAAATCTTACAGTCTTTAAGGGGCACAACATCCTTTTTCTTGGCAATTCTTAACTTTTTCCTTTCCAAATAAAATGAAAACATCTTACTCTATAATTCTTCAAAATTAAAAGGAATCTTTTATGGCAGTTTCTCAGTTCAAATTTCAGTGTGAAATATTTGGTAATTTACCAGCTTCTTTTTATTAAACGGTATCCCAGAACTCAAATGAAATAGAAACAATTAATATGGGTACCAGCAACTCTTAACAATCCCAGCAATGGTTTCTATTTTGTCTCTGGAAAATTTTTTATAAGTGACTGAATATTTCTCTCTTCACTCTTGAACCCAGTCATCCATATGAACCCACATGAATTTTATCTAGATCTTCAATTAGATTTTTTTATTTAAATTCAATTAATTAACATATAAGGTATTATTAGTTTCAGAAGTAGAGGTCAGTGATTCATCAGTCTTATATAACACCCAGTGCTCATCACATCGCATGTCCTCCTTAATGTCTGTCCCCCAGTTACCCCATCCCCTTGCCCCTCCCCTCCAGCAACCCTCACTTCCTATGATTAAGAGTCTCTTATGGTTTGTTTTCCTCTCTGATTTCATCTTGCCTTATTTTTTCCTCTCTTCCCCTATGATCCTCTGTTTTGTTTCTTAAATTCCACATATTAGTGAGATCATATGGTAATTCTTTCTCTGATTGAATGATTTTGCTTAGCATAATACCCTCTAGTTCCATCCATGTCATTGTAAAAGGCAATATTTCTTTTTTCTTCTTCTTCTTTATCCATTCATCTCTCAGTAGACATCTGGGCTCCTTGCATAGTTTGCTATTGTGGACATTGCTGCTAGAAACATTGGGGTGCAGGTGACCCTTTGGATCACTACATTTGTATCTTTGGGGTAAATACCCAATAGTGCAATTGCTAGGTCAAGGGGTAGCTCTATTTTCAACTTTGTGAGGAACCTCCAAACTCTTTTCCAGCGTGGCTGCACCAGCTTGCATTCCCACCCAGTGTAAAAGGGTTCCCCTTTCTCCACATCCTCGCCAACACCTGTTTTTTCCTGACTTGTTAATTTTAGCCATTCTGACTGTTGTGATGTGGTATCTCATCATGGTTTTGATATGTATTTCCCTGATGCCAAGTGATGTTGAGTATTTTTTCCTGTGTTCTATTGGCTTTGTATGTCTTCTTTGGAGAAGTGTCTGTTCATGTCTTCTGCCCATTTCTTGATTGGATTATTTGTTCTTTGGGTATTGAGTTTGATAAGTCCTCTATAGATTTTGGATTCTAGCCCTTTATTTGATATGTCATTTGCAAATATCTTCTCCCATTCTGTAGGTTATCTTTTGTTTTTGTTGACTATTTCACTTGCTGTGCAAAAGTGTTTTAACTTGAACTCCCAATAGTTTGTTTTTGCCTCTGTTTCCCTTACCTTTGAGATGTGTCAAGCAAGAAGTTGCTGTGGCCGAGGTCACAGAGGTTGCTGCCTGTGTTTTTCTCTAGGATTTTGATGGATTCCTATCTCACATTTAGGTCTTTCATCTATTTTTAGTCTATTTTTGTGTGCGGTGTAAGGAAATGGTCCAGTGTCATTCTTCCGCATGTGGCTGTCCAATTTTCCCAACACCATTTGTTGAAGGGACTGTCTTTTTTCCTACTGGATATTCTTTCCCGCTTTGTCGAAGATTAGTTGACCTGGAGTTGAGGATCATTTCTCTGTTCTGTTCCATTGATCTATATGTCTGTTTTTGTGCCAGTATCATACTGTCTTGAGAATTACAGCTTTATAATAGAGCTTGAAGTCCACAATTGTGATGCAACCAGCTTCGGTTTTCCTTTTCAACATTCCTTTGGCTATTCGGGGTCTTTTCTGGTTCCATAAAAATTTTAGGATTATTTGTTCCAGCTTTGTGAAAAAAGTTGATGGTATTTTGATAGGGATTGCATTGAATGTGTAGATTGCTTTGGGTGGCATAGACATTTTAACAATATTTATTCTTCCAATCCATGAGCATGGAACATTTTTCCATTTCTTTGTGTCTTCCTCAATTTCTTTCATTAATGTTCTGTAGTTTTCTGAGTACAGATCCTTTGTCTCTTTGATTAGTTTTAATCCTAGGTATCTTATGATTTTTGAGGCAATTGTAAATGGGATCAACCCCGTGATTTCTCTTTCATCTGTCTCATTGTTAGTGTATAGAAATGTAACTGATTTCTGTGCACGGATTTTGTATCCTGCCATGTTGCTGAATTGCTGTATGAGTTCTAGCAATTTTGGGGTAGAATCTTTTGGGTTTTCCACATAGAGTATCATGTCATCTATGAAGAGTGAAAGTTTGAATTCTTTGCTGATTCAGATGCCTTTTATTTCTTTTTGTTGTCTGATTGCTGAGGTTAGGATTTCTAGTACTATGTCGAACAATGGTGGTGATAGTTGACATCCCCTGCTGTGTTCCTGACCTTAGGGGGAAAGCTCTCCATTTTTTCCCATTGAGAATGACATTCACTGTAGGCTTTTAGTAGATGGCTTTTATGATGTTGAGGTATATTTCCTCTATCCCTACACTGTGAGGAGTTTTAATCAGGAAAGGATGTTGTACTTTGTCAAATACTTTTTCTGTATTTATTGAGAGGGTCATATGGTTCTTGTCCTTTCTTTTACTAATTTAGTGTATCACATTGATTGATTTGAAGATGTTGAACCAACCTTGCAGCCTGGGAATAAATCCCACTTGGTCGCGGTGAATAATCCTTTCAATGTACTGCTGGATCCTATTGGCTAGTATCTTGGTGAGATCTTCTATTGAGTTTTGTCTGTATTTTACTGTCAGTAAAGAACCTAATTCCAAGTATAAAAATTACAAGGAACAGACGCCTCTGCTTTGTTCAAAATTGTATTAATTTTTCTTTTTAAGATTTTATTCATTTATTGAGAGTGAGTGCAAAAGCAGAGGAGAGGGGCAGAGGAATGAGCAGACTCACTGTGAGCTTGGAGCTGGTCCTGGGGCTCCACCTGGGTTTTTGTTTTTTGTCTTTTTTTTTTTTTTAAGATTTTATTTATTCATTTGAAAGAGATCACAAGTAGGCAGAGAGGTAGGCAGGGTGGTGGGGGGAGATGAAGCAGACTCCCTGCTGAGCAGAGATCCCGATGTGGGGCTCAGTCCCAGGACCCTGAGATCATGACCTGAGCCGAAGGCAGAGGCTTAACTCACTGAGCCACCCAGGTGCCCCACTTGGGGTTTGATCCCAGGACCCAAAGATCATGACCTGAGCTGAAGTCAGATGCTTAACCAACTGAACCACTCATGTGCCCCCCACTAGTAGTGTCATCAGGCTACTCTTCCAATTTCAGAAAAAAGATACGCATGCGGGCTACTCAAAGCACATTAGTTGTATGTTGACTGCAACTAAAGTATCAGAAACTCCAAAAAGAAGACCTTTCACTAGCTTAAGAAAGGTTAGGGGAATTCAATGTCTCCACACAGGATCCTCATCCAGTTTTCTCCAGAGGACTTATAGCTAGATAGAGAGAAGGGAACATCCCTATCTGAGTGAATAGAACCTGCCTATATAAGATATCTATAGAAGTGTAGTTACACACATACTTACACACAAATAGGAAAAACAAAAAAATCTCAGTATGTTAAAATGATATCAAAATACAGTGAGGGAAGATGATACCTAAAAGAATAAATTTTAAGGGATGTGGGGGGCTCAGTTGGTTGATTGACTGACTCTTGATCTCAGCTTGAGTCTTGATCTCAGGGTCGTGGGTTTGGGCCCCATGTTGGGCTCCACACTGGGCATAGAGCTTACTTTAAAAAAAAAAAAAAAAAAAGAACAAATTTTAAAGAATTTTAAAGATAATAAAAAATTTACTTTGATATCTAATAACAACTTAAAGGTCATATAAATAGCCTATATGTTTTTCTCATGATAAACTATCAATGTGTCTTTCCACTTTCCTTTAATGCTCATTATTTTGTTGAAATGTATGATTACAGCAAGACATAAGTCTTTTTATTTTTTTTTTTTTTAAGATTTTTTAAAAAATTTATTTGACAGAGAGATGGAGAGCACAAGTAGACAGAGCAGCCGGGAGAGGGAGAAGCAGACTCTCCGCTGAGCAGGCAGCCTGATGTGGGGCTCGATCCCAGGACCCTGAAATTACGACCTGAGCCAAGGGCAGCCTCTTAACTGACTGAGCCACCCAGGTGCCCCAAGGCATAAGGCTATATTTGTATGTGTATTTGTAAAGGTAAACTATAACATAGTAAAGTTACTGAAGCCAAGAAATTAACACTGATGTGACACAATTAACTAGTCTACATACCATATACTAATTTATCCAGTTTTCCCTCTAACTGCCTTTTTCTAATCCAGAATCCCGCATTGCATTTAGTTGTCTTATTTCTAGTCTCCTCCAAGACATGAGAATTTCTCTGTTTTTATTTTTCCTCTGTCTTCCATGACTTTGACACTTTTGAAAAATTCTGTTCAGTTATTTTGTAGAATGTTTCTCAATCTGGGTTTCTCTGATATGTTCATGATAAATTGATGTTATTATTTTTGGTAAAAGTACCTCCAAAGCAATGTTGTGCCTTTTTCAGTCTATCACATCAGGATACAAGTCAATATATCCTATTACTGGTCATGTTAAATTTGATCCCCTTAGTTAAGTTAGTGTCTGTGACTTTTCTTCAATGTACAGTTACATTTTTCTCGTAAGTAAGAAGTACATTGTAAGAGATACTTTGAGACTCTACAATCTTGTTTCTGATATTTTGTCCACTAGTTGTACTATGTGTTGATAGGTCTTGCCTGCAACTGTTATTGCTTTGGTATTTGACTAATGGTGATTTTCTATTTTTATCATTCCTTCTACACTTATGGATTAGAATATTACTGCAAGAAAGGGCTGTGCTTTCTCCCCTTGTATTTATTTATTTTTTCAAATATTTATTTATTTCAGTGTGGATTCATGGATATTTATTTTATTCTATTGGTTATAATCCCAAAGTGTCATTTTTTATTTTCTTGCTCAAATTTCCCCAGACTCAGTTATTGGTAAATTGTACAAGTTGATTGCTCTGTCTTTTCAAAATACCTCTATCATTTTTTGAGCATTTCCTTATTTTCTGACACTAGAAGATGGTCCAGGTGCATTTTGTATTTTCCCCGCCCTAGCCCTGGAATCAGCCATTTTCCAAAAAAACTCTGGTTTCTTTTAGTAGAGAGTGATATTTAGAAACAAAGACCTGGTTGTTAGATAAGCCCAGTCCTATTGGGTTTTCATTGCTCCCAGGCCCACTCAGTGAACAAAGATAGGAAATATATGTGCGTATAATAACACATGCACACACGCATCTATATTTATTTCCAAACTATTCATCTCTCTGTGTGTATGTATATGTTTTATGTTTTACACACACACACACACATATATACATAAAATCATAAGTTCATACTAATACCTTCAATTTTAATCCAATACCACTAAATTCATTCTAGGTTTCCCCCCTTTTATTATTTGTAACTTCTTTCTCTGACAGGGAGAAACGTGGTTCTCATTATCCACAATATATTTTCTTATTTGTTCAATTACAGTATACACATAAAGTAGTTTCAGAATTGTAAGCTCATATCCCCATAAGAAAAAAAAATTTACTAAGAAGAGTACAGTATTTCTGTGCAGGATTTTGAGTTTTACCTTGCAGTTTATGATCAAAAACTGTTTTTCCAAGGTTGATTAGGTTAGTTCTTTCCTTCCCCAACTGCTTCAGTGCAATTATGTTATTCATTTAATGCACTTAAGTTTATTTGTTACTTTTCATGTTCCACTTAAGGTTCCTCCCAAGTCCTGGCTGACTTTACTTATTTATTTTGCTGAGGACGGTGGAGGGAGCGTGTGAAACATTGCCATGGTTCTGAGTCAAAGCAATAGAAAAAGACAGACACAGATAAGTGTCACTCTTCCTCATTCTTACTACACATTATTTCTACCCATTCCCACTTACTCCCTGGAGGTAACCGATCTCATTTCTGGTTTACCCTTTCTGTATTTCGTTTGCACAAATAAACAAATAAATGTTGATTTTCTTAAAATTTCCTTCCTTTTCACATGAAGTAGTTTACCTTCTTTGGCATCTTTCTTTTCTCATAATTTTTTAATGTTTTTCCGGATATTCTTTTTTTTAAGATTTTATTTATTTATTTGACAGAGAGAGACACAGCAAGAGAGGGAACACAAGCAGGGGAGTGGGAGAGGGAGAGGGAGAAGCCGGTTTCCCACCAAGCAGGGAGCCCAATGTGGGGCTGGATCCCAGGACCCTAGGATCATGACCTGAGCGGAAGGCAGATGCTAAACCAACTGAGCCACCCAGGTGCCCTGTTATTCTGAATATTCTTGCCTGCTTATTTTCCCATAAGAACTTTAGTATCAATTTATACAGCTCCATTAAAAAAAAAACAACACCTTGTTGATATTTTGGGGGGAATTGCATTCAATCTATAAATTGACTTAAAGACATTTTTATAATCTTGACTCATCCTATCCAAGAATAGATGATGCTTTTCCATCTGTTCAAGTCTACATTTTTTACTTTCAGAAGTGTTCTAAATTTTTCACATCCAGTTTTACACACTTATTATTATGTATACTTCTGAGTATTTAATCTTTTTATTGCTACTAATATGGGGCTTTCTCTACCTTTATGAACTGTAACAGGTTATTGTTTGTGTATGTGCACTGAAAAGGATACATATTGTGGGAAGACAAGCTTAGACATGTTGAATTTGAGGTAACAGCAGAATATACAAGTGAAAATATTCTGGAGGCATTTTGAAATGCAGGACTAGAGCTAGGAGAGATACTAGGGTTTGATTTTTTTTTTTTTAATCTATATGGGTATTGATTGAAACCAGAAGATAGAATGTGATCCCAAAGGAAGAGAGTTATTTAAAAAATTTAAAATAGAACTGCAAACTGAGGCCTGAGTGTTGGAGAGCATCCAGGTTTAGGACACAGAGAGGGGGTAGAAGGAACATCAGAATAAGGGAGGTCACAAAGGCCAACAAAGAAAGATCCAGGGAGTAAAAGTGGGCCTCTGTGGCAGAAGCTACAAAGAAAATGAAGCCTGAGCAAATGCCATCAGATACAGGTAATTAGTGTTTTCCAAAGCTTGGTCCCCGCCATCCTAGTTCCTTCAAGATAATAATATGTATTCTTCAAAAAATGTTATGGAGATCAAAAAGTTTGGAAAGCACTGATTGATCTAAATTAAAGAGGTTTCTCTACCAGAGGACTTCTAAGAACTATTAACATGCTCCTAGGAATTCTGAGTTTCCATAATGGAGAGTGGCATGCAGATTTCTACACTTCTGTTTTCCAACTAACCTAGAGTTTCCTTAACCAATCTTTTTTCTTCCAAATGAATTTCTCAAAATGAGATGCATCTTGGAACATACTCTGGACATTTTAGAGCACACTCTAAACCAATTTTCTTTAGCCTCCTCTCTGCCCTCAAAGTCAAACAACAGAATCTAGGAATTTTATTTCTGTTTTACAGGAAACAACTTTTTAACTCTGGAAGATTGCCACAAAGTACTGCCAGTGTTGTCACACCCGAACAGCACACAGAACAGCACACTGGAAGACACTCTAAGTGCACAGCCGAACAGCACACTGGAAGACACTCTAAGGCAGGCTCCCAGAATTGGAGACAAAAGGAGGGTGCGTTGGGGCCAGGGGTGGGGTTGGGAGAGGGGGCTCTCTTGAGAGCAGAGGGCAGCAAGGAGCCATTTGAGTCAAAAGGCCCAGGAGTTTCTGGAAACTCACAAGCAATCCGGCAGCACAGTTCCCAAGAGGTCTGACCCAGGAGACCTCTTCTGGTTCTCAGAAGCAAATCCCCAACCCTGGGAATCCAGAAGCTGTAGGCTCTTTCCAGAAGTGAGCAGCTCCTGCCAGGGTCCTTCCCGACTAAGTGGGCAACAACATGGCAGCAGAGTGGGGACAGGGCTGACTGGGATTCTATCTCTCAAATAAAAACCATCCTAAATATTCCAACATTCTAAATGACATTTTAAATTAAGAACTTTAAAGGAAAAGTCACTCCTCGAGAAATGCTTCGTCAGAATAGGAGAAAGTGCTTCTCTCAAAAAACACATTAAAAGAAATTAATACGGACAGTGGAAGACAACAAAAAGTTGGATGAATTTATCATAAATCTGTTCACTGAGATGTAGCATTCACTTAAATAGAGGTCACATGAAAAAGACATCTTCTGCGTGATATTTTGTAGTAAATTAGAAGGCATGACAATTGCTTGATTATCCAATACTAATGCAATATTCTTAATTTTTTTAAGGCCTCAAGGCCTTGCACAGTCTAGAGATAAGGAGATATCTAAATACAGTCAGCTGGATGGGTGCCTGCCTCGTGAAATTTCAGGACCAACGTCAGGTCCTCAATTTGCTCCAGCTGTGAACAAATCCGAACCAAGCCTGGTAGCATATCGGAAACCCCATTTCCATCAGTATGTAGGGTCTGGAATGAGTCTTGTTGTTCTAACTCTGGGATCAAAGGTACCCGTACCTACCTGCCTTCCATCTTCCCTGCCCCCGTCTTCTTTGTGCATACCTAATCTGCATTATGGGACTTCTTCTCCAGTTTATTTGGTAACCCATCTCCTAGATATATATCTTTTGATATATAAGCCCTTTTGACTGGAGTCTTGACAATCACCCTAGTCCTTGTCAGTAGCTAACCTTGACACCTCCCCAACACCATCACCAGCCCTACACTCTACTGGACTGCTGGGGTCTTATTTCCAACCGGAGAGAAATCTCACAACCACTGTTCTTTTACTTAATTTGACTTAAATTATCACCACCTCATTGGAGATCCCTGCCACAAGGCCTCACCCCTGATATCTGACTATTTAGCACAGGCACTAATTGAATAGGATGAAAGTTCATAGCAGTTCCCTGGACACCATGATTGGAATGCTGACAACTCCCAACCATCAGTCTTAACCATGCTGATGCCCAAATAGCTCCCTTTTCCTAACAATCTGCCCAGAATGACACCCCAAAATACTTTTTTAAAATTTTAAATAGTTTGTTCTTTTATTATGTTCTTAATGTCCTCTTTGGAGTCCACAGTTGTATAAACCAGATATTTTATAATATCTAACCGATACTTCCATGAATTGAAGTTCTTGGGGCCTAATCATGCCATATGATGTATTTGCAAAACTTCACTCATAGTAAATTATTTCCTGTGTATTTTATAATTTTAGTCTGCCAGGCTTCCTCTGTGGAAACTATGTGCCAGTATGACTGAATGCATACCCTTCCAGAAAGGTTTTCATTTTCTTCTACCAAGCACTCCATGAGTAATACCAACCTTGCCTAAACCTCATTTTTGGGAGGGGGTGTTGATTTCTCAGTGTGGGAGAGTTCCTGGACCCCTAGAGATAGTATAAGTTCAAACAACAAAACCTTGTGCGGACCTGTGATTACGAATTTAACGTGAATATGATTTCAGTTCACCTAGAATACAGGTGAAAAATTCCTGGTTGCCTCCTTGTGTTGGTAGACAGATTTTTCCTTGCTTTCCCTTCCTCTGAGGACACAATACTTGGGAACTTTAGCATTTGTGGGGGTGTCCAACTTGATACTGGCCCAAAGCCTCTCATGCTCTTGCATAGGATAATAAACCTCAGATTCTGAGTTAACAAGACCAGTAAATGCTCCATGGCAGTCATAACTTCGTCCTTCACCACACTGTTTTCATTCTCAACTCAGTCTTCACTTTTGGTGTATGGGGATGCTTTATTTTACCCTGATTTCCAAGTGTTTTATAATAAGAGACTTTTGCAGATTGTCTAACCCACAATTTCGCCGAACATACAAGTATCAGTGTGCCTTTTCTAAATTGAAAAGTTCTACTGGTTACTGTATCAGTATAATTATATAACATTAATGTGATTTTTATATAAACAAAAACTACTTCAAGAAAAATAATACAAGGTTTTGCAATGATGTATTTGAGAGACTAGTCCCTGAAGTTTATGTTTTTGTTATAAATCAGAAAGCCTAGAGAATAATTTCTGCTGTGCGAAATAACAAAATATCATTCATTTCCTGTTTTCTTTTTCCATGTTCTTGGTATATCCACTACCACTCTGGGTTAGGCCATTATCTCATGCCAGGATTTATGAAATAGACTCTTAATTAATTTTCACATTTCCAGTCTCTTTCAGCTCCAAATCATGCCACAGACAACCACCAATTAATCTTCCTAAAAATGCTACTCTTGCAGTAACATTCTTTCTACATATCTCTGATACTTCTCTTCACAACTTAAGACAGTTACTCACTATCCCTCCTGACCTCTTCTAATTCCTGCTTTTGTTCACGATTTTTCTCTCATCTAGAAGGCCCTTCTTCCTTTTCTCTGTCTTCCCAACTCCTGCCCACTCTTAAAGGTTCTGTTTAAAAGTTCCATCTTGAAAAGTTCTCTCATTTACCCCTCTGTAAGCAATCTTGCCCTCCTTCATTCACTGTTAGTGTCTAGCACCTGAAGTAGTCATTTAGCATTTATCACATAGAAGAGCAAATCCTCGATTTTCAAACAAGTGTGTTCCAAAGGTATTTTTGTAAATTGGCTACTCAACACACTGAGTTCAATTTCCCTTAGAAGTCAGATTGTAAATACTGGTTAGATTTTGAAGGTAGCTCTCAGAATTCTATTCAGCCCCTGAGGAAACTGAACCAAAGTACCAATAGTAACAATTCAAGAATCTGTAGGCCAAACTTCATGCTATCTAGAAAAAGCAAAAGATGAATATTAATTTATTTCTCCCTTTTGATAAAGCAATAATGTCCACTCTTAGACAAATTTCTACTTAATTTAACAAATATTTATAGGACAATTATTAAGTGCCAAGTACTGTAGAAATATAGTGATCAAGACAGACACACCCCTTGGCCTCATGACAGTCTCATCTCTACCACCTTCACGTACGCCATTTTCCCCCATCTCAACATGGTCTTCTTCTAGGGCCCCAAGTTTCTGACCTGGTGACTGGGTCAGAAGGTCAATCTGGAAATAGTGCCATTTACCAGTGTGGAAATTACTAGAGAAAGGACAGGCTTGGCTGTGCTTGCTTTGAAGTTTTTTTGGTGGCTGGCCTTCTATGATAAAAGTGACAATGAAAATGGTTTCTACTATTGTTATGTTTTGTTTGAAGAGAAATGGTGTGTTAGGGAGAGGAGAAGATGTGTTCTTGCAGAACTTAGAGTTTGGTATGCTATGGGACACCATGAAGAGATCTGTAGAGGGGGGTCTGGGTGGCTCAGTGGGTTAAGCCTCTGCCTTCGGCTCAGGTCATGATCTCAGGGTCCTAAGATGGAGCCCCGCGTTGGGATCTCTGCTGAGCAGGGAGCCTGCTTCCTCCTCTCTCTCTGCCTGCCTCTCTGCCTACCTATGATCTCTCTCTCTGTCAAATAAATAAAAAATTTAAAAAAGATCTGTAGGTTAAAAAGAGAAAGGAAATACTTGTCTTCTTTTTTTTTTAAGATCTGACTTATTTATTTGACAAATACAGATCACAAGTAGGCAGAGAGGCAGGCAGAGAGAGAGAGGAGGAAGCAGGCTCCCCGCTGAGCAGAGAGCCCGATGTGGGGCCCCATCCCAGGACCCTGGAATCATGACCTGAGCCGAAGGCAGAGGCTTTAACCCACTGAGCCATCCAGGCACCCCAAATACTTGTCTTCATATGGGGATAAGAAAAGACTTGGACCCAAGCTAGAGGTTTAGATTCATCAGTGATTTTTCTCATCCTAATTATGAGTAAGATCATTTTTGTAAGTATAGGTTGCTTGAAGGTTTACTTTTTAAAGTGCTAAATTGGCTGTATGATCTTGCATTTTATTTTGTTTTTCCCTTGAGGGGGTTTTATAACAGCAACAACAGTCTGCTCCCTTAGGGTTAGAACCTTTCCAGTCTAGGTTTATGCCTCATGAAGACTCACATACTGTATGGATTCAATAAATATTTGCCGATTGTTCCACTGTGTCAGTGTGAGATTCTGAGACACATCAATAATTTCCCTAGAGTTAATAAAAGTAATTGTAAACAGTTGGATAGTCTGATGTACCACAGGCTGGCTAAATATAGCAATAATAGCTACCACATTTGCTAAAATAACAGCTAAGCTGCTATACACAATTTGGGATTAAAGACTCATTAAATAATAATATAATTCTTTCCAGCCAAACTGGCCTGCTCACTCTTCAAAGACAAGCGTTGAATATTCCTGCTCCCATGTTTCTGATGACTCCAGTTATCCCACCTGGAAAAACCTTATCACTTTTTCCCGCAGGTCCACCCTCTTCTACCTTGTTAACCTTTCTCAAGTCCTGTCTATAAAGGCCTTCCTAAATTCTCTGGCCCTGGGTCTTCATTACCACCCGGTACACATCACCCTGTTTCCTTAATTTTATCCCAGCTATATTCCCAGCCAGACTGAAGAGGAGTCTTTTTAACTTTTTGGTGTCCTCTTGCCTAGTCCAATATGGCAAAATAATAGATACCCCATAACTCATTTCTGTTGATGACGATTGAGGGAAGATAGGCACCCAATAAATCATAGGATCATAGAATATTAGAATCTGAAAGAAACTTTGGGAATTCTGTGATGCCCACCTAACACCTAATAGACGTTACGTACTTGTCCTCAAATTAACCCCATAAGCTAATTGGAGGTTTCCAACGAGGATTCCCCAGACAACTGCTATCAATGAAGTCCTCTGATGGTGAAAAACAAAACAGAAACAAAAACAACAGTCTAACCCAACATTCCTATTTTGGAAATGAAAAAAACATAGTTCCAAAAAGCTGGAATTATTTTTCTGAGGTTGCACAACTGGCTATTGATAGAATCTAGAGACCTAGTTTACTGGCCCTTCAAGGTTTCTGCATAACGTCAAAGTATTTGGAGACTGGTACCTTAGCTATAGTACCTGTAGAAGGGGCATACATACCTAACAACTTATCCTTTCTGCTTTTGGTAATGACATTTTGAGTTCAAAATCTATTGAATAATTCAATTAGACAGTGATTGGATAAAAATAGTCTTTTGAATTAACCAAAATAACTTTGGACTTAAAAATGTTCCCTATGGTTATTACCACTAAAGCTCAACTCCAAATGGAGTAAAGTAGGAGAAAGCTTCCAGAATGAAACTGCTTCCACTATTTTATCCTTGCTATTAACACAGGACAAAGACGCTGTGAATTACTAAATCTTCCAAAATACTTCTATAATGTAAATATGGCTTCTTTGGTGTTGTGAAATTACATGTTTCATCTTTTTTTTTTTTTAAAGGTAGGATCCATGCCCAGCATGAAGCCCAACTCAGAGCCTGAACTATTGACCATGAGATGAAGCCTGAGCTGAGGTCAAGAGTTGGATGCTTAACCAACGGAGCCACCCAGGCACCCCTACTATGCTTCATTTTGTTTTGGACATCCTCGACAGAATTCAACCAATAGCCTTAAAATACAGGAAATTCTAAAAAGGGAGTATGCTGTAACATGGTCAATACCTCAAAAAGAGATTTACTAAGTAAATAAGCACATTTAGCTTCCATTGCATCCACTCCAAAGTCTGCAATGGGAGTAATCAATGCTGAAATTTAAAAAAAAAAAAAAAAAACCCTATTCATTTCATATCTATGCTTATAAAAAATTTGGGGTCTCCCCATTGAACATATGCAAAAACCCTCAACAAAGTATTAGCAAACTGAATTCAACAGTACATCAAAAAGATCATGAAGAGTAAAAATCATGTGATCATCTCAACAGATGAAGAAAAAACATTTGACAAAACACAACATCCATCAACATCCATTTATGACAAAAGCACTCCACAAAGTGGGAATAGAGAGAATGTATTTCAACAAAATAGAAGCTGTGTAGGACAAGCCCATGGCTAATATCATACTCAAAAGTGAAAAAACAGGTTTTCCTCTAAGATCAGGAACAAAGTAAGGATGTGCAGTCTTGCCACTTTTATTCAACATCGTGTTGGAAGTCCCAGACAGAATAATTAGGCAGGAAAAAAGAAATAAAGCCATCCAAATTGGAAAGGAAGAAGTAAAACTCACACTGTTTGCAGACAACATGATTTTACATATCGAAGACCTTAAAGGCTCTACCAAGAACTATTAGAACCAACAAATTCAGTAAAGTTGTAGAGTACAAAATCAAGACAGAAAATCTGTTGTGTTTAGGGGCACCTGGGTGGCTCAGTGAGGTAAGCCTCTGCCTTCGGCTCAGGGCATGATCTCAGGGTTCTGGGATTGAGCCCCACATCAGTTTCTCTGCTCAGCAGGGAACCTGCTTCCCCCTCTCTCTCTGCCTACTTGTGAATCTCTGTCTGTCAAATAAATAAATAAAATCTTTAAAAAAAAAAATCTGTTGTGTTTCTAGACAATAACAACACACAATTAGAAAGAGAAATTAAGAAAACAATCCCATTTATAACTGCATCAGAAAGAACAAATAGCAAAAAAAGAAACAAAGAAAGAATAAAATAACTAGAAATAAATTTAACCAAGAAGGTAAAAGATTTGCCCACTGAAAAATGTAAGACATTGATTAAAGAAATTGAAGAAGACACAAACAAATGGGAAGGTATTCCATGCTCATGGATTGGAAGAATTAATATTGTTACCCAAAGTAATCTACAGATTCAATGCAATCCTTATCAAAATTCTAAACATATTTCTCACAGAAATAGAACCAAGAATCCTAAAATTTATATAAACCATAAAAGATACTGCTTAGCCAAAGCAATCTGGAAAACAAGAACAAAGCTGGAGGCATCACACTCCCTGATTTCAAACGATATACAAAGTTGAATATAGTAATCAAAACGGAGTGGTATTGGAATGGTATTGACATAAAAACAGACACATGGATCAATGGAACAGAAAAGACAGCCCAGAAATAAACCCACAAATGTATGGTCAATTAATTTATGACAAAAGAGCCAAAAATATACAATGGGGTAAAGACTATCTCTTCCATAAATGAATGTCCAGTTCAGAAAACTTGACAGTCACATGCAAAGGAATAAAACTGGACCACTATCTTACATCATACACAAAAATTAATTCAAAATGAATTAAACACTTGAATTTAAGACCTGAAACTATAAAACTCCTAGGAGAAAACATAAGCAGTAAACTCCTTGACATGGGTCTTAGAGATGATTTTTTTTTAAATTGACTCCAAAGGCAAAGGCAACAAAAGCAAAAATAAAAATTGGAACTACATCAAACTAAAAGCCTTCTGCCCAGCAAAGGAAACAATCAACAGAAATTAAAAAGGCAACCTACCAACTGGAAGAAGATAGTTGCAAAGCATAAATCTGATAAGTGGTTAAAATTTGAAATAAATATATAAAGACCTTACACAACTCTGTAACAATTAGAAAAGTGATCTGATTAAAAAATGGGCAAAGGATCTGAATAGACATTTTTTCAAGGAAGACATACAGATGGCCAACAGACACATGGTAAAATGCTCAGCATCACCAATCAACAGGGAAATACACATCAAAACCACAATGAGATATTACCTCACACCAGTCAGAATGGCTAAAGAGAAGAAATAACGAGAGTTAGCAGTTAAGATGTGGAGAAAAGGGAACCCTCATGCACTGCTAGTGGGAATGTAAATTGGTGCAGCCACCATGCAAAAGAGTATGGAGTTTCCTCGAAAAAGTAAAAACAGAACTGCCATATTATCCAGCAATTCCACTTTTGGGTATTCATCCAAAGAAAACAAAACACTAATTCAGAAAGATATATGCATCCATATGTTCACTGCAGCATTATTTGCAATAACCAAGGTATAGAAACAACCTAAGTGTCCACCAGTGCATGAATGGATAAAGAAGATGTGATATAGGGTGACTGGATGGCTCAGTGGGTTAAGCCTCTGCCTTCGGCTCAGGCCATGATCTTAGAGTCCTGGGCTCGAGTTCAGGGTCCTGGGCTTGAGTCCCACGTCGGGCTC